TTCCACGAAAACAAAATACTTTATATGTGTGATGGTCATTATTATTTAATTATTATAATTAATAGGACTTTTTTTTTTTTACTTCATCAATCAAATCGCGGAAGAACGCGAATTTTATTATACTAAATCAGATTTTTATTTGGTCACTTTCCGCTTTGTTTCCTTTGCCTCTTTAGTTTTTATAAATACCCCGTTCGCCCTCTAAAAAAAAAAAAACCAAAAAACACACACTCTCAAACTCTTTTTAACAAGTTCTCCCCGATACAGTAAGAGAAGCCACATTGTTCACAAAGATTTGGATGATATATTCTTCTGGAACCCATAATCTTCACTTTTAAAAATTCCGAATCAACCTATCTTTCCTGGGCTTCACTGAGAGAACTGAAAGAAAAATCACAATGTCCAGCACAGCCGCTATTAAAATCTTGATTAGTGGACCTATTACTCATCAGATGATTGGTATGTGCTTGGTCTCGAATTCACAACTTTCTTCGCGTTGACATTACCTTTACACGTTTCGCTAATCAAATTTGTTCTCTTTAACCGCAAAATAGCTCATGTTGCCCAAAAAGCGGCCGAGGTGATCCCTTGCGATCCGCCACCACATTTAAACGGTTCCTCGCAAGCAAAGCCGCCAACTCCAACAAGCGCCAACTCCACCGCGGGGAGCGTTAAAAACAACAGCGGTAATGTCACCACGAGCCACACGGCGGCTACAACGCATTCTCACACGCTTGGCGAAGAGGACCAACAACCTCTGCCTCCTCTCCTGTCGTTCATACAACGATTGGTGATAAAGTCGAATGTATCAACCGCCACATTCCTCACAACTCTCGTGTACTTGGCAAGGCTAAAGAATAAGTTACCAAAGCTTGCACGAGGTATGTATTCATTATTTTTTCTTCGATTCCACTTTTCACCGCCAAGGATCATGGTCATATGTGAAAGAAGTGGGAATACACTAGGCCGTCTTCGATTCGACGCTTGGAAATCACCTGACTTGGTATTGTGACACAGCAAATTGTCGTGTAACCATGTGCAAGAAATCAACGAAAGAAACGAGTAGAGAATATAATTTTCTGCATGAACATCTATAATTGGTGGAACTTCGTTGTCTAGAAGACTTTATTATATTGTAAATACTGTTGTGTTAAATTTGGATTTGCAGTCGACCATCAAGCTCATTCAGGCCTTGTTTGCTTGCACCTCTTCTTTCCATACATGATTCCTTGATTTTTTCTATCGGGCTCCCTTTATCGTATCAATCTACATTTTCTAATCCTAAATCACCCTCCTTATAGGAATGCACTGCACGCGCCACCGGGTATTTCTCGCTACCCTGATAGTTGCATCGTAAGTTATCTCATATTACATTTTGCCAAGATTTCATTTATTCATCGAATGAATTTCCAAATATGTCACAACCATTGCTTATCTTTTCCCTAATCGCACTCTTACTAATCATGCATTTCGATTGTTCTCTGCAGAAAATATTTGAATGACTCCTCTCCGAGAAATAAATATTGGGCCAAGTTTTCGGGCGTATATACGGTAGCCAAGGTCAATCTCATGGAAAGGCAGCTACTGTCCCTGTTGGATTATGATCTTCGTGTGCAAGAGTCGGATCTCGAACTACACCTTGCACCCTTTTTAAAACAAATACAATCACTCAATTTCGGTCATGCCATAAGGATAGAAGCTCTAAGATTACCCAGTCTCAGACATATTCATCATCGTACACTTTCTCATCCGCGTCCACGTCCACGCATACACTCCCCGTCCTCAAAGCTACCAAACTCACATCATCATTGTATAACCCCACCACGGAGGCACAACTCATATCCTCTCCGAGAGAGTACACGTATCTCATTGAAGCCGTCTATATATAACACGCCCATAACTCCGATGTCAATACTCACACCCAGTTATAACGGAAGCAATAATGTTGTCAACTTTTCACAACATTTGCACGCCTCCATCAAAAAAGCCAACAATCCGATCATCATTACTACTCCTGCTGACAACAAAAACAGTGGCAATAATAATGAAATCTTCTTTCAATCTACCCCAAACTGCATCGATGACCACCTTCAATCTACTCCAAACTACCTCGGTGAACACTTTCAATCTACACCAAACTGCATCGATGACACAAGCGATGATTCTCAAGTAGGCATGAGTACGGACATGGAAACCGACGAAGATGAAGAAAATCATTCATCCGGGGAGGAGAAACGAGTCGCCTACGATGAACCCACTTTAGCCACGTTTGACGAATTATGCAAGCGGTTCCCGTTAACGGGATCTGCGAGAGATGAACACGGACGAAGAACCTCGACCTCTTCGAACTCCACCTGCTCCTCATCCTCCTCCTGTTCGTCATCATCATCGATAAACACACCAGTAACATCGAACACTCAACAACCCCCTCAACAGTATCAATCCCAATACTATCAATTGAAACATCAACAACCATCACAACAACTTTCATTCATTCCTTCCCTCCATCCACAGCAATGGAACTTTCAGACTCTACCAAAATCGACATCCCCATCTACCATCGCCAACTCGAACCCGTCAGACGCTGGCGTCTTGCACTTCCCTTCCTATTGCAGTGGTCATAATAATAAGATGGTTCTACCACCAATATCATCC